ACAGAATGTACATGTATATTATATAACGGCGTGTCGGCTTTTTGTGGGATGGAAGCCGAAAAGATGAGGGCTTTAGACGTTTACCACTTTCGTGATTATCAACGTACACGGTTGTGGTGTTCACTCTGCACTGCTGATTGTGGCGCCTTAGGCGACTTGGCCACTGTGACCCAACTCCATTCAGAGTGAGTGATTGAGTGAGTTTGGTTTAACGCCGCTTTTAACAGTATTCCAGTTACATCGCGGCGTGTCAGCTTAATGTGGGTGGAAAGCCCGAAGTGATGCAGGTCTCAGACGTTTACCACTTCGGTGAAACCCCCGAGCACGGGTATGGTGCTGACAAACCTAGAAACATAATCGGGGCCAACCGGGATTCGAACCCACAACCATAGGTTTCTGGCATGCCCAAGGGACGCAACTCTGCACAGCGAATCGCGGCGCCTTAGACGACTGTGCCACCCGTGCCCCCAACTCCATTCAGAGCATCAGGCGTGGCGCAATATTAACATATAACATGATTTATCTCTGTATATCTATTTTCACTCATGTATACCATAACACTTTACATATCACAAAGTAAAACGTTAGATTATGTCTGATGTCTCATTAAGTTAAGGTGATAATTGATAAGAATGAAGGTCGTTTTCTTGCCGCTGACCTCTTGAAATTATGAAAGTCTCCAGGAATCATAAAATAACATACCTCACGGCTTCGCAAGGAAATCCCCTCTCATATATGTTATATTAGTTTACAGACCTATTAATACTATGTGTTTTTGGTATTGTATTTGTTTAAGGTGTTATTTTAGATTCACAATAAAGGTGTCAGTTAAGTGTGTAACACAAAACATATACGCCAGTGCCATAATGAAGAATCGCTTATATATATTCCTCTATGAAATAGTAGTGTCTAGAGAATCATATCCTGTACTTCTTTTCTGGTCAAACACATTTTCCCCGACATACTCATATTGAAATAGAGAAATTGAAATCGATTATGTAACCATCCCATGGCAATAGTTACTTCACTACCTTTAAAGTAAAGCTTTGAAAACGTTTTTATGGTAAACATGTGGGGGATATTTCCATATTTGAGGTATCGGTGACAAAATGATGTCCAAATCAATTTCCTATTTTTGACAAGTACCAAATATTCTCGTGTTTTTTCAGGTGAACAATTGACTTGCCTGTATATGTGTTTGTGACAGGTGCCATCGGTGGGGCAGGATACGCTCACATTTTCACGAACATCTGGTAACATCACTATTTTATAGTGATTTATAAACACGCGTTCGTGATTTTGTGGAAATCATACAATCAAATCGACTTTTAGCAGAGACTTCTCATGCATATGGAAAGCGTTTTGTCGCTTTTATGTACAAGGGCGTCCTCTGCTTGTAACCGGGGCGGTCGGGTAGCCCTGTGGTTAAAGCGTTCGCTAGTCACGCCGAAGACCCGGGTTCGATTCCCGACATGGGTACAATGTGTGAAGCCCATTTCTGGTGTCCCCCTCCGTGATATTGCTGGAATATTGCTAAAAGCGGCGTTAAACCATACTCACTCACTCACTCTGCTTGTAACCGTTCCTTGCGACCATCATCTGGAGGTACTAAAAATGTTCTAAGCCAACGTTTCATCCCGTATCGGTGGTATCTAAGACATTTGTCAAAATTAGGTTCATGTCACATGTAGATATATCCCAAAGATACATTGAAGTTAGGAATCTAAAGTATACACCCATGTTTGATGGTGGCTAAAATGAAACACAGAAGACAGAAATGGTTATTCGATGGTGGTGTATTTGATACGGGGATCATAGTGGTGATGTGAAGTGTTTCCACGACTGTTTTTAACGTTGTGATAACGTTTCTAAATGTTGGGTCAAATCCAGCTTTCAAGTGTATGCTTTCATTGCCTGGCAGTTTATGAAACTGAATTAGGAATGGGGCTCAACTTTGCTTTCCAGGTGTATATAATCCGTGGTCGTGAGTATTGACACTGCCATTAATTAATCGTCTTTCACATACGTGTTATCCTCTCCATGTTTATTCCAATTAGTTACGCTTTCAATGTGGGAAGTAAGTGTGCGTCAAGAAACGGTGTTCAGACTCAGAAATCCCCTGTCTAATTACTGGAACGATCTGATGTGCACATTAGTACTGTAGCAGTCATGGGCTGATGAGGCTGAGGCAACCACATCTATTAGTGTGATGAGGATATCCGTAGCTTGGAAATACAGGGGTTGACAAAAACAACAACCTGTCTATCTGACAACCAGACCGAGTCGATTTGTTAAGACAACATTCGTCAATCAAATTGTTTGTTAAACTATGTTTTCGAACGAAAGTTTATATAAACACTCAGTTACGAAAACATCTACTGTGTGGCTAACGAGGCTGTTGTTGATCAATCATTTTCCATTTTACAGTTTTATATCCAATATATCAACTCGTGGAACTTATTCTTTATAACACCCCGTCTTTTTTGACGACACTTACCAAGTAAATTTATAAAGGAAAGAAATTTAAAATTAGGTCATAACTAGATGGTTCGTTTTCCATTGGTAAATTATATACTCTAGGCAGAAAGTGTAAATACACCAAACTCTTTCTTAACAAGAATAGGGCCTCCAATTTCGACCAGATATGACACTAACTGTTAAAACGTTGAAATGATTAAAGAATTCGCCGGAGAGATGTTCAGATAATGGAAAATAATAACTGTTATCAACTGATATCATAAGTACAGATAGAAGAGTGAGTGAGTGAGCTGGGTTAAACGCCGCTTCTAACAGTATTCCAGTTACATCGCGGCGTCTCAGCTCAATTCGGGAGGAAAGCCCAAAGCGACGTGGGTCTTAGATGTTAACTACTTTGGTCAAACACATGAGCACGGGTATGGTGCTTACAAACCTAGAAACATAATCGGACCGAATTGGGATTCGAACCCACGATCATAGGGACGCAACTTTGTATAGTGAATTGCGCCACCTTTGACGACTGGGCCACCCGTGCCCCCTCGAGATGTAAAAAGCAATCCTGTTGACTTGTGGTTTTTTTCATCATCAGACAATATCACGAAAACAGTTGTACTGTACGGTATTGACAGTTGTAAATCATTGTACTGTCAAACACTTGTAAACATTTCTCTCTCTGATACACGATGCAATGTATATTTAACAGAATTATTTAAATGTACATGCATATTTCTGAACGGTATAACATACATATGTACATTTCAACATATTTTATATACCAATCATTATATCAAGCAATGTATATTAAATTTTCAACAAGTCATTTGCATGGACACTATGTTTTAACTGACAAGGACCTTATCTTTCACGTTGCCAAAACCTGCCAAAGTGTTTTATGAAAGTGTCGTTTAACTTTGTATAAATAATTTTATCCTTTGTATTACGTATTTTAATGCGTGTTTACTGTTTATACATTGTCGTAATTATATGTTTAAAGTCTCTCATAAATTGCTGGGCGATTGGTCATAGTTTTATTTTTCATGTATTTTATACTTTGTTTCATCAACTGTACCATGTGTGAGACTTACATAAACAATTCTGTCTGTCTGTCTGCATCAAGTACATGAATATTTAACACCCAAACCACACAGTCGCGATCGTTGATGAACTGTGCTAAGCATGAGCTTCCAAGCAGTGAGTGATTGAAATCTACATCTTGTACATATCTCAGAACAGTGCACTTGACCCCATGATATACATTTAGCGCAACATGTCATTTTCATCATTCACGTTCTAGTGTTATTGTGCCTTCAATAATTCGCACAATATATCATTCCGAAAGGCCACGTGTACGTGGGTCAAATGCCAATCACCTGGTATTGTTTTACATTCATCCGAGACATTTTCTTACATCAAGATTCACGGAAGTGAGGAATTCTTTGTTCTGCGTGCAAAACATGATTAACCCCATCGACATGCTTTTGTGTCGGGAAATTTATGTTTTTGTACTTTCTCTAAGGTTTGCTGACATGGTTTTATTCTGAAGATTGTCTGGTCGCTTCGATGAAAGTGTGACGCGTCAAGCTGCACATGAAGCATGCTTATAGCGACTGGCCGAGTAACACATTTCAGTGGGATTTGGGAAACAATGTACATCTGAATTCACTTCACTGTCAGTATGATGCAGTTTGTCCAACTCGTTGACATATTCAATACTTGGTCCAAAACGAGTGTCTATCATAACACATTCGATGACAATAACACACACACACACACACACACACACACACACACACACACACATATATATATATATATATATATACACATAGAGATATATTATCACATCATGCATGTCTTGAATTTTGTAACCTCGCAGATATAAGATCAAACATTGACAAATATATTGTTATTGTTATTTCCTTTACACATAGGTGTTTCTTAAGAGGAATTAGCGTTACAGAATTAGATTACCACTTGAAGTTGAATATTGCTAATTTTAAACAATAAACAGTGCATGTAAACGTTGCTTGCGCATCTGTTTTGAGACATATGACACAAATTTAGTTCACCTGGTGGAGTTTCTGCCAAATTATCCCTCCTTCAACCCGGGTGCACAAACTGGTCTTGTCATTCTAAAGACACATATTAATTACGGTCCTACTGCTATCAACATGAGACTCAACTGTCATGACAAAATTAGCGAAATGGTCAACAATATTAGTTAAAGGTGAATGTTTTCCTTGGAAATCCGACATCGTTGATCTAGTCAGGAATTAAAACAACATCTCAATCAGCGTAAAACGTGTGGCAGAACAAAACGCGTGGCGATCCTCATCGCTTTGTTTGATTGACTGCTATTGACAATATTAACCATTCAATCAAGACAATCAGTTAGATAATAGGGCCACACAAACAGAACAATGTGACGACAACGATCCACCTGGAATGAGCGCACCCGTGTTTGTACAGGAAAGCTCGTGCGGGGTAGTTACTGGTTAGATAATTAAGTCGTGGAGTTTTGATTTTGGGTAATGTAATTAGTCGGAGAGCAAGTGGCAAGTGAGTAGGCAGAGTGGTGACAGACAGTGAGAGTTTGGTGTCACATGGATTTTCTCAGTGTCTCATTAGAAATCTAGTCAGTATATAACCCCCTTGCTGACGACACAGTCAACAAGCATCTCAGCTACAATTTGAGAAATATCAGTCACAGTTTGACAACGCAAACCAGTACAAAAATGAAGAGAAAGTTTTGTGACACCACTTTCAGCGAAAACCTGCCAACAAAGTCCCAGCGAATGCACTGTCACCAAAGTGCACCCCAGGGATTCACACCGCTACCCCTCGAGGAGAACGCATCGTCTACCCCGCACTACAACACTTCTGTGGATCTACGTCGCGTTATTGACGAGTTTGTGGCCATATACGAACGTTTGGACAGTACCGACGATCCCTTGGTTAAGCCAAACTACTCTTATACGGAACTAGTGTATTTGGCTCTACTCAGATCGCCGAACTTCTGCCTGCCGATTAATGAAATATACAAGTATATTCAGACCAAGTTCCAGTTCTTCAGGAGGAATACTCGTGAACACTGGCGTAATGCTGTCCGCCACAGTCTCTCCAAGACCAAATGCTTCACCAAGATCGGCGTCCGGCGCGGCCCAAACTCATCCGGCACCTACAACCGCTCCATGTTCCTGTGGACCTTCTTCCCCAGCAGCATCGTCAACTTCGCCCGTGGTGACTACCGCTCCAGCGTCGACAAGGAAAGCGGAACCAACACTCTCAGATGGGGATACTATCGTATTAATGCTGGTGAATTTTGGGACCGTGTTTCTCTTTCGTTGGATACCAAGATGATGTCATTCAAGGAATCTCTTGCCGCGTCCCCAACTCAAGCCCAGATTTTCGAAGTACAGTTGTGCATCTTACCCGGGACTGAGTCTCAGTACATAGCTCCACGCCCATCAACTTCGCCTGAGACCCACCCCGCCTACCGCCAGGACTCACCCCCGTCTATCAGGACAACCACGTCGTCAAGCACCCCAGCGTCCGTCCAGCCTACCCATGGAGGTCACCACATCATGCCCGCATCTGTATCACAGTACCATCAAGCCAGAGCTACCCATAGTCAAGTCACAGCTACCCGTAGTCAAGCCAGCCCTTCCCTTAGCTACAGTAGTAGCACCAGTCCATTCTATCACACAAGCCCTGCGCTACCATCGACTACCCACGAGTATCACTACATCGCCAGCCCCGAGCACGACAGCCCGTCGTTCCAGCATCAGAACACGACACTGGCCCAGTCAACTCCGAACACAACGTGCGTCAACAAGGCCACCGGAACAGCGAGCCGTAGCTTGTCTTGGGATTCTTCTACGGACATCCTGTCCTGTGCTTGGAACGCTGTAAACTCCACACCCTGTGACAACTCCGACAGCGACTGGTCGTCCAACTCCGAGTGTCGTGACAGCGGGGTCAGCACCGACACCTCCAGCTCAGACAACAGCTACCTCCACGCCTTCATCGACGGCCGGCAGTTTCACTCCCCACCCCAGAACGTCAATATGTTCAGCCCATCCTTCCATCCTCAGCGTTACCAGTCAAACAAGATGGTAAACACCGCCCGCCACGCCCACGCCCACGCCCATCCCCCCAGCAACCCCCGGGATACTTTCACCGACGTTCAGCTTCTACCCGAAGCATCTCTCTCGTCCCTGTTCGATCTGGCATCGAGTCACCACCAGGATTCTTCCGTGTTCGATTTCCTCAGCCAGGATAACAGTTCGGTTAAACAGGAATCCGACAGTGGTTACGCATCATCTTTTGCGCATGACAGTTATCTGGCGTTTGCACACAGTTTGGTATCCAATGTCACACCTGCTACGTCATCATGCAAATACAGCACCCCGTCTGTCACTTCCGCCACATCTGCGCATGGGCACAGCTATCTTCCGGAGTGTGATCTGGCCCAATTTGACTTTCTGCAAGGACTTGATGTTTCAACCCTTGCCTCAATAGACAATCTTGCCAGTTACAGTCAGTGAATAGACACTGAGAAACACCGATGAATGTTATTCACTACATAATCAATATGTATGTTTGATATCGTCGGTAAATAATAATCTACAAGTGCTTCCAAGTGAACCAATGTTTGTTAAGACATGTACATTATTAACACTGTGTAAATAATCATCATGAAAGTGCTAACTTACCATTATTATTTTTGTATCATGATCACCCATAACCGATAAGAATGAAAATCAAATTGTGATCATATCTGTTTGTTATAATGTCATTTTGGTATGGCAATAGTTGTGATATTATGAAACCAATGTACATCTGCTATAAGCTGCTATATTTCGTACATTTAAGCATTTAGTTGTAAGTCACAGTTTGAAATGTTTCTTTTGTATCAACGGGTGATGTATTTGTAAATTAGTGTGTATATTTTGTAAATGTTGTGTTATGTATATACAATGCTAAATTGTCAAAATACACTTGCTGAATTGAAACTTTTCTTGTTCGTGATCTTTATAGTTAGAATTGCTTGCTGAACATGGGATGCCCATCTTCACAAAAGCATTCGTGACGAACACGTCACATCTTTAAACATTGACACACAATTTGAAAGCTAAAACGATACGTTGATAACATCGTCTTTCTACGGATATGTGGTCGATTACAACTTAACATGCACATCTCCTCCCAACAAAACAAGTTAGAGGTTTTGTTAAACTGGTTGTGAAGAGTTTGTATGAAGAAATGAAATTTAAGCTGTCTGGCAGCTAAACATCAATAGCAGTTTATAAAGTCCTGAATTGTATGTCGTTTTGATAAATATTTTATGAACCAAACTGAGAATACAAGTACACGTATCGGAAAACAAAACCTATATTAGATATGTTCGCTGAGTCTTGTGACCTTTAAATATACCTGTCAGTGTGACAATGTTAATCGGGACGGTATAGTGAAACCGTCTGGATAAACGACTCTCCAAAATAACTAATCATTTTACCCTGCGCAATATCTCCTCTCTATATTTAGATGTTCCTAACAGTACACATGGTGCGGGGGCTGGTGTTGCCACTGTTCTGTCGCTATATCACCCAGAGCAGCATGCTGAGGTAAACCTGCTTCGCTTCGGACTCTCCTGCCACTTCCTATAACCGTCGGTTCGAATCCCCGACAAACTCATCCATTCAAAATGTACGTTCACTTTCTTTTGCGTTTGCTTGGTAAGCGACATTTTCTGTTAGCTAAACGTAACACTTGATGTCAAACCTTACAAAAAATAGATCAACATGCTTTCACTGCCTAATCATCATTGCAACAATACATTGAAACAATTGCATATTGAATGTAAGGATTCCACAAGTAAAGGGAGGTAACTCTGGTAACTCATAATTTTCAGCCATTTGTTTATTTGTTGTTTAACGCCGGAATCAGCAATGTTCCAGCTATATGACGGCGGGAGGTAGATAATCGAGACTGGACCGACAATCCAGTGATTGACATCATGAGCATCGATCCACGCAATTGGGATACGATGACATGTATCAACCAAGTCAGAGAGCCTGACCACCCGACCCCGTTCGTCGCCTCTTACGACAAGCATGGGTTGCTTTATTTTCCACTGAAGACAAATAGCTTTAAACTACCTCTTTTATTTTTAACTTTTGATTTGGCGAAAGCAGGTGTAGCACCGTGTTTTGAGGTGGGTTTTTTATGCTTCACCTGTTTTATCACAGTTGTGATTTAGAAGATATACACACTGTGTTATCAATGTAGAGCTGGAATACCCGAGTGAATGCTAAACGACGCTATATTGAATGTGTCACGGGAGGGGAAGCTAACATGAAGTTGCACCTATACACAAAATTAAGCAAGACCTGCAATGTTTAGTTCTGCACCGTACATTGTGACGCAAAGGATATGACGACACAGTCTGATACAGAGAAGCGCCAAAGTATAAGCACTCTCTAACTTGACATACAACCTCTTTGTCGATTTCTATCGTATTTCTACCAAGATGTATCAACACGAATACCTTGAATATTGTAGAAAAAACAATTCTGAATTTGTAGCCATTACTGTACACTGATTTTTTCAAAAATCCAACAGATAACGACTGTGAAGAAAACACTTGAATATTGTGGTAACGGCAAATCTCAATTTGTAGCCATTACTGTGCACGTAATTATTTCAAAAGTCCTACAGATAACGACTGTGAAAAAAAACACTTCAATATTGTAGTGACGGCAAATCTGATTTGTAACCATTACTGTACACGTTATTATTTCAAAAGTCCTACAGATAACGACTTTAAAAGAAGACTCGAAATAAACTGACGGGCAAAAGAATGTAAATCAAGTTTGTTTTTAATATAATTGAAAATTGAAAGAACTGTTGTTAAATTTGATTATGTCTATTTAACCATCACCCATTCCTGCAACAGTTTGTAAAAAAGTAAGATGAGACTGGGTAATGCCATGTAAAAAAATAAATTGGTTCAGTGACAACTGGGGTATGACATGAGTTTGCAACCACACACCCCTACCATGGTTGAAATGTTATAAATATGCGCATGTACAGTTCGTTTTTGGATATAATATCTCTAACTTAAGATTTTTTTCAATTGAAAAAGGTGGAGTTTCCTTTGCTCGTCAGTATGGTATTATCAAGTGTAACTGGAAATACAAGTTGTAATTACATTTTATTATCTTATCATAAAGTATGCAGTTAATTCCATTCCATCTTTCCTAAATCTGGATTGGATTTACTGCTGTAATCGGTTGAGTGTGGTGCTGCTGTTTCTCTTGAACAAATCTCAAATCGTTAAGAGAGAGTGAGTGAGTATGGTTTTACGCCGTCTTAGCACTATTCGAGCCTTATCACAGCGAGGGACACCGGAAATGGGTATTTCGTTGTACATATTTGGGGAAACACATAAGATTGTATCTATGTGGGGAATCAAACCAGGGCCTTTGGCGTGACGAGCGAACGCTTTAACCACTAGGCTACGCCACCGCCTTCCTGGCTCAGTTCCATAAAGCGATTGCTGCGCTTGGGAGATCGTAACTCCGATACTTTAACACAGACTTTCGACAGTCGAAGCGATATGATCGTTTTGTGGAACGGATCAAATCATTACGAGACAAGTCGTATGTTCTATATTATAATGCCACACGGGTACATAGACAGTGCGTTTATGCCATGTCTATATCTCGATAACCTGTTGATGAAGTTGGCTCAGACCGGCAGTGCAGCGACAGCCTCAGTAGCACAACGTTGAAAGCATTCTGCAACCAATTTATGTTATTGTTTATTAGCACATCTACATCCCCTGGTTACAAATGATATAGCACGCCCTGTAACAAAACTCTTAACAAAGTATCTCACTCAAACGTTCAATATGTTATTCATGTTCATATGTGTGCTGTGCTATCACAACAAAAGTAATTGAAGGTGACTATCGGGATCGGATGGTCAGGCCTGGTGACTTTGTTGATGCATGCAATCATATCCCAATTGCTTAGGTCGATGTTACTGATGTCAATTACTGTAACGTCTGGTCTAGACTCGAATATTTATAGGCCGCCGCCATACAGCTGGAATATTGCTGAGTGCGGCGTTAAACAACAATCACATATTCGTATTGTGCTTATGCACGCCAATTTGGACCCTGCAGATTTTGTGTCAGCGTAGCCTCACGACCAAGCAATCTCTCGGTCATGACTTGAACGCTGTTCACTTAATCGCCTACCCGCCCTTGTCACAATGTTCCTGATTGTATGTTGTTATTGGTGATGTATTGAAAACTACGGAAACCTTTCAGGGCCATTTTAAAAAAAAATTTGTTTTGATACTATCTTGAAATTTCAAGAAACTAAGTTGAAATTTCAAGATACTAAGTTGAAATTTCAAGAAACTAAGGTAAAATTTCAAGATACTATTTTGAAATTTCAAGATACAGAAGTTGAAATTTCAAGATATTAAGTTGAAATTTCAAGATACGAAGTTGAAATTTCAAGATACAGAATTTGAAATTTCAAGATACGAAGTTGAAATTTCAAGATACTAAGTTGAAATTTCAAGAAACTAAGGTGAAATTTCAAGATACTATTTTGAAATTTCAAGATACGAAGTTGAAATTTCAAGATACAGAATTTGAAATTTCAAGATACGAAGTTGAAATTTCAAGAAAATAAGTTAACAACCTAAGATGTAAAAATACGTTTGAAGTGAATAATCTTGAAATATCAACTTAATATCTTGAAATTTCAAATTCTGTATCTTGAAATTTCAACTTCGTATCTTGAAATTTCAACTTCGTATCTTGAAATTTCAAATTCTGTATCTTGAAATTTCAACTTCGTATCTTGAAATTTCTAGATAGTATCGGAAAAAAATAAAAAAAACAAATGGCCCTAAAAGGCTTCCGTAGAAAACGCTTATGTGACATAGCACAAAATTCACCTTTCAGATCTGACTTTGGTGAGTTGCAAAAAGTGTCCATGTTAAGTGCTTCACAATACCGAGGACTGCTTTTTTTTATCTATCATGCGAAATAGCGGTCGCAGTTCATGACCTGGCAAACTATAAGCGCTGCATTCGAGACATTAGATTTCCATTCAAGACAACGCAATTTTTTAGTGAATAATTAGCAGCTTTGAACACTATATCAGTTATATCACGATATATCAGCTTGGTTTGGCAGTAAATTTAAATCCCTTAGTTATGCAGGTGAAACCCAAGAGCTCGATGATAGTGCTGACAAACCTAGAAATTACCAGGACGAACCGGGATTCGAACCAACAATTATAGATTGGCACGCTGTTGGGAGGCAGTTCTGCAGAGCTAATTGCGTCCCTTAGATGATCGGACCGAATGCTGTGTAAACGCCAGTCAGCAACAATCCTGCTATATCAATGCAGCTTGTTGATAATCGGATCTGGACCAGACAAAGTGCAAGAGAACATATCCACGACATCAAAGCACAATCGCGCAATCAGCACTGCTTGATTACGATATTCATATTACTCGTACGACAAGTATAGGCTAAAAAGGACCTTATTGTCCCCAGCATCCTAACGGGGTATTGTAACTAAAAATATGAACAAGACACAGTTCGAATAAAATGAGTTTATATAAAATTCATATCGTTGGCAGTTCAACAATATTCAGAACGGTAATTCAGTCAAACAACATAATGAAATAATGTAAGGCACAGCACTTATGAAGAAATATGCACATTCAGATACATTCCCAAATAACATCGACCCCCGATGCTTGTAATAAACCAAGCGTTGTTCTTCCACTCACAACACAGCGTCAGCACAAAAGAGGTATCACGAGGTCAATACGAGAAATTACACTGTGTCATGCGGTCATCGTACAGATAACCAAGGTAACTCTCACACGTTGCATATGGGTCATCTGGGTAGAGGTAGCCATGACACCCTGTCGTAAGGGACTCCAAGGGAGACAACTCGTCGTTTTGTCCACAGGTCACGACCCCCCGGCTTACGTAATCCGCTGCAGACAGGGTAGGATAATACAGGTAGTCGTAGCCGTAGGAGGGTGGAGAGTGTACGTTATTATAGCACAAGCCGGGTTCGACAGGTTCTTCTTTCACATTGTCGCAGATGTTGTATTCAGCAGAAACTGGTGAAAATGAATGAACATCCCGACTGCAGTCGCTGTCTCCGCTGACGGACAAGAAGGACACACCGCTGTTGAAATCCCCGTACGAGCTTCGCCTGCTGTCATCTATCGGGGAATCACACGTCTGGACGAATGAATAACGGCCTGGTACTTCCATGGTCGGACAAAGCTGCACTTCTGGTTCAATAGGAGACAGTAATTCTGATGACACCAACACTTGGCTAAAACTGACTGGCGACACTGACGTTGTTTCGCCCGATATGATGTCACTTCCGGTTGAAGCAGACGCCTGTTGCTGTGCGTAAGAAACCGGATCTGAAGCCATTCCTAGACATATTTGAAAGTTCTGTATTTTCACCTGCAGGGAGTCGACCACCTTATCCCAGTACGCCTCCGTGTTGTCTTCATGAAATGCCCTCAACAACATGTCGTCTGACCGATATTTATCAGCTTTGTGCGTACGGTAGTCCCCTCTTACAAACGACGTCAAGCTCTGTGGGTGTATACTCCATAAGAACGTGGGCCGGAAGCTGGTTGCTGACGTCTTCTTGCCCACGTTTATCTTCATAAAACATTTGGTCTTGGACAGGCTGTGCCTTACAGCATTACGCCAATGGGCCTTCGTGTCATTGCGGAAATACAGAAACTTCTTCTGGATATGCTTGTATATCTCAGGGGCGGTAAGACAAAAATTTGGAGCGTCCAGAATAGCAAGGAATATCATCTCGGTGTAAGAGTAGTTAGGTTTCTCGTCTGGTAGAGTTGTCCCCCCTAGCTTCTCATAAACTGCGAGGAACTTGGTCATAACATTCCGGAGATCCACAACTTCGGCAGTGTCAAAACCTAGCTGCATGGTGATATCCAAACGTGCTGTTTTCCGTGAAGACGCCATTTCACATTCAGCTTGTTCTGTTTCTTCCAATTTTCTCTTCATTATATTCCCACTGAAGGTTTACCTTCAACCCTCGGCGTCTGTGTAGTGACTGATACACGAGTAAGGCACACAGTATATGTCCAATACGATCTGTCATAAGTCGTGTCACCCTTGTGTTCTGCTGCTGAACGAGAAGTCACGGATATCAATTGTCAGTAGGTAAAGTTGAGTGAGACAACGTAAGCCAAGCTAGCGCATAAAAGGACGCTCTGCGTCGTTATAGCCCGTGCATTGAGTGCTCACGAGAAACACCGCCCTCGACTTGCTGACCAGTGTTATGTAACAAAGTTTATTTGCAAACGTTCATTTGTGATTGAAAATATGTGCAGTGATGATTATCAGATGCAGAGTTATATTATTCACTTGAACGAAACTTCGACAATACAGGAACATTGCTACATCAGGGATTTATGAATGGGTTAGTTTGGTGTAACACTACTTTAAACATTATTTCAATTATACCGCGTGTCAGCTTGATGTGGGAGGAAAGGCCTAAGTTATGCAGGTGGTAGACGTTCATAACTGTGGTAAACACTGGGACACAGGTATAGATAGTTCTTACAAAAAAACAAACAAAATAATCAGGGCAAATCTGGGATTCGAACCCACGACCATGTATACTTCACCTTGAACTGGGGCATGATTTGTGGTGACTGCTGTATGATACATGAACTATCTAAAGCGTACATTTGGCTGAAGATCATAGGTATATTCTGGAATTATAGGTTTCCCTAAAAGGTTAAAACGGAATTCTGCAATCGCAAATCGAATATTTACCAACCCCAGACAATCGCGAAAGCTCGGGGGTTCCCTTCTTCTTCTTCTTCTGTGTTGTTTAACGCCGATCTCAGCAATATTCCAGCTATATGACGGCAGTCTATAAATAATCGAGTCAGGACCAGACAATCCAGTGACTGACATCATGGGCATCGATCCACGCATTTGGGACTGATGACATGCATCAACCAAGCCTGCGAGTCTGACCACCCGATCCCGTTAGACGCCTGTTACGACAAACATAGTCGCCTTTTACGGCAAGCTTTTAGTTGCTGATGACCTATTCTACCCCGGATCTTCACAGGACTCGGGGGTTCCCGTAACAATGAACGCGTGTTTAAATTTACAGCTGTTCCCCTGTCGGCACATGGCAATGGCTAGACTGGAACCAAGTGAAATAGTTCATGCAGAGGCAGGCCAACTGATTAAATGTAAAACGTCAATGCCAGATAATGACCAGTCTCAATTATCCCAAGAATCAAGTTCCATTGGGGCGTGAAAGGCAAAATACTGGTGGAAAGCATATGAACGGATCACTGAAAATCAGGGGGCACAGGTGGCACAGTCGTCTGAGGCGCCGCGTTTCGCTGTGCAGAGTTGCGTCACTTGGGCACGCCAGAAACCTATGATTGTGTGTTCGAATCCCGATTCGCCCCGATTATGTTTCTTGGTTTGTCTGCACCATACCCGTGCTCGTGGGTTTCACCGAAGTGGTAAACGTCTGAGACCTGCATCACTTCGGACTTTCCTCCCACATTAAGCTGACACGCCGCGATATAACTGGAATACTGTTATAAGCGGCGTTAAACCCAACTCACTCACTCACTGAAAATCAGTGATGACACCAGGTGTTCGCGACGGGCCAACATAGTGTTCATGATGTGGTTCACACAGGCCAATGGCCACTACTGACTTAATCTTCACATCTCATTGTTTTGTTTTATCTCACTATTCATTGGATCTATTCATCGAATCGACCTGAAACCTTGTTCGACATGACACTCCCGTTGGTCACACGTAGCGTAGGGTGGTTCACGAGCTGCTCTCTCGTGTTTAACGGGTGTTCAACCAGTGTGCAACCCCTGGAACACCTGTCACGTGCGTGTACCATGCGAACACCACGCGTGTGAAGGCAAGGTGCTTCAAGGCGGTGGTGTTGGATACAACGTACTATTGATGAACAACAACCGGCGACATGTCCACAGAGTAATCAGTCAGTCATTATAACGTTTGTTATATAGGAAGAACACTCTCAAAGAAGCTATTTGTTACCGATCAACAGAGCTGAGGTGGTTAGTGCGTGTTTTCCGGTGTAAGTGTTGTGTATAGAACGTGTAACGTGGTGGCACGTGGTGGCACGGGGCTTACCTAGGGTTGAACGTCGCGGCCAAGATTATTGCACTCATATAGCTACGTGCATGCACGTGTGTGTGTGGCTGTTTGTACTAGTCCGGACTAATACAGATCATATAGTACAGTAACTAAAGTATTGTCGGAAATGCTAGAAAACTGCTTTTCTGGCTTCATGTAATAAATACGAATCATTGGACTATAAAATGAGCATATATCAAAATATATAGCCTGTCCTTACTGACATTGTGATTACCCTTAAAATGTACTTTTACAGGTAAAATGATGATAAACTTAGAAAATATTCGTGTGTTGTCATACTTGTATGAAATGGCCTATAACCTGAGGTAATTACCTGACACTTGTCCCGAGGTGATGACCTCACACCGTCCCGTGCATTCTGTAGAGGGGAATGTCCACGTAACTCTCCATTCCTTAAAAATAATGGAGCAGAGGTCCCGCAGGGGCCGAGGCCCATTATTTTTAAGGAATGGAGAGTTACGAGGATATTCCCCTTCTTAAAACTCATCCCTTTTTTACACTTTGACAAAATATTCTGTAGTTGAAAATATTTGTAAAATTCAAATGCTGCTTCAAGATAATGTACAGTTGACAAGCAACTCTCCATTCCTGAAAAATAATGGAACGTTCAAACAATAGAATGACGTCGAAGATGTGTTTTAACACAGGTGCAAATGTCACCGAGTTGGGGGTGGTCTCAAAATATTGCTGTTTTTGTATTTAATTGGCATGCGCTGATGGGGTAGCGATTTACGATATGTACTGCATTATATTTGCTTGGAAACATGATGGACTAGTTAAGAGCTATGAAACGGGAAGGGTATTAGAAGGTTGCGGTTTTGAATCCAGAAGTATTTGTTGTTCTACAGATGGTTTCTTGAGGTAGCATTTATCTCCGCTGATGACGTATATGAATCTGTACTTTTGAATGTTGTGTTATGTCTTTCTACGAACCCGTTACACTTAGCCAAGATTGGCACAACGGGGCTGAGCTCACAATGTCTGATTGGCGTACGTAAGACAACGTAACCGTGTTGTGCCGCCAGCATATATGTCTTTTACTTTACTGGTTTCTTATTCTGCCGAATTTTCTCCATGAGTTGAACTTTCGTTTCATATGGTCTGAAGTCGACTATGTCATATATTCCTGTATGGTCGCCTTCAGACTACTCATGGTTTGGGCAACAGTACATGATTCCCGGACGTTATATTAACTGGCGTTATCAATGACAATAACATGGGCAATAGCTGAAGTTCCAATCAGTCTATGAACACATCACCTATAATTTCCTTATGAAAATCACCAAGTTTTCCTTTTCACCTCGAAAACTAGCACACATCCATCAATTAGCCCCATATCATGGGTTGCAGCATGCAAAACAATGACACGATTACCTTTACCTGATGGTACCATGGGTGTTTTTTGTCCATCTGCCGATAGCCACATGTAGTCAGTGGAATGATTCATCAAGGTAAATTATCTGGATGCCCTGACTGTGATAGTTATGAATGGTTCGGAGATAATGTGACCTCATAGACAGGATGGAATATTTTCCCCTGAAAAGTGCTCTGTCATCGCCACGCGCAGAGTATCGAAATCCCATCTCTTTGAGAGCAATAGTTAGTGCAGTCCGGGAAACATTAATTGCATCTTTAATTCCTCCCAAATTCCACTACAAGTCAGGGTTGCCTTCTGCTCATAAAGCTTGTACACTTTACGCCTAATCACCCTGTATCAAAGCTGTCTGATATCCTTTTTCTTCACAGTTTTGTTTTTGAGACCAACCCTATACCTGTTTTGTTTTCTTATCATACCGTAGACTTGATGGTATGAATTGAAAACCCCCTAGGTTGGGCAGTTCACCCTATCTAAATTAATAAATGTTTTCCCTCTATCTCTCTAAAGTGTAAAGAACCTGTATATATTTCCCAGTACAGACTCCATATCGTGTACCATGATTATGGCTATGTAAGTGTAATGTAACATGCATCATGGGAACAATGTTAACAAAAAAAACGCAGCGTCATTTTCTCATTTGAGAAGATCCACATGTAGAATTTTCTCAAGACGATTTTTGTGTGTGGATTAGATGTTTAATGAAGACTACATTGTTATGTTAGATCGGAGTCACGTGCGTATATTTCTATAGTCCGTTTCAGACTGTCATCATTGGACTTCGAATAAATGTGAACTTCCTGTTTTCATTCGAATTTGTCTTCTGTAAATATGTCGATAGGACTCCTTGTGACTGAAATACTTCAAACCACAGGTAGGGCGATCGGTAGTTACTCGATATTTCAATAACAACAATCTGTGTGAAAAATTATATCCTTTTTTAACAGGCAAAAAGCAGTTTTCTAGCATTTCCGTCAGGAGATACCATGCCGCGGAATGTTTTGTAGTCAGGCGGGAGCGGATGCAAGTCTATTAATTAAATTTGAATGGCCTAAAGTAGCGAATATGGTGTCGTGTACAAACACCGGACAATCTCGTTTTAGCCGAATGCTACAAATTCGTCCCTGAGAAGTTTGCTTAAATGAGAATGCTGTCCGTGTGTAATATTGCCTCATAGAGAAAATCACTGGCTTGTGATGATTTCTATAACTGACGGTGTTGCCGCGATAAACTGCAATACAGCTGATGCGACTTTAAGCAATATTTACTCACTCACTGACGGAGATATTTTGTTTCTAGCTTTCGGACACTTTATTGTTTTCACTATCATTGGACATTCATGTACACAATTTCTTTTGTTAAACTATATTGGGCATGTTGGTTTTTTTAATTTAAAGTTGACCTTATGATATTACGCATGCGCACGGACAGCGTCTAAAACGCGAGAACGCGAGAT